GCTGAGACCTCAGAGAGAAGATAACCGAGGTTCTGCAGTGCTCTTTGTCTTACGGGACTTGCTGATTCTTGTCATAGTGCTAGAAACTGAGAATCTGGACATTGGGCCACTGCAAACAGGTAAAGAAGTCAGTAGAGCTTTGGCGATCCCACAGGGGTAGAGAGACAAAAATTAGCATTTTAGTGCTGCCAAAAAATATTAGCCTTTTAGTGAGGGGTCAAATAAGCAGTGAGAAAGGAGACACAGACAAGTGGGCCATGGGAAGGATTCCCCCTTAAGGCATTTAGGGGTTTCCCCTCAAGGCATTTGCCACAAAGAACAAGAAGCTAAATAAATAAGTAAGTGGGAAAAAATCTATAGAAAAATATCCTAAGGTAAGGATTAACAACAACAAAAAAAGTCCATCCCAGCTCTAAAAATCTATGAAATATATTATCCTATGATTAAAGAGAAAACCTATGAATAGGTTATGGGTAATAGTGAGAATAATACAAAATAAATAGACTATAATTTATCAAAAAAGAAGAAGCTAAAGAGCTCAGCAGAAAACCTCTGCAAAGTGCAGTAAAAATTCCAGCAATGCTGTTGTCCTCAGAAGAAAAACATGAGCATTTGGGACTGCCCATGGAGGAGTGGAACGCGGTAGATGTCTCTGTTTCTCAGTGGGGCCCACTGGAGAAGCGCTCCCTCAGAATGGAAACGAACCAGAGGTACATGGAGTCGTATTAACATGCCTTATAAACACAGCAAAATCAGCTCAGTCTCGGACTGGATCAGGAGATCTGTTCACATTCTATGTGCTTACCATTCAGGAGAGAATTTGTCTCCCCCACTGTCAGCCAACAGCCTCTAGCCCAGCGGTTCTCAATCTGTGGGTCGCAACCCCTTTGGCGGTTGAATGACCCTTTCACAGGGGTCGCCTAAGACTATCCTGCATATCAGATATTTACATTACAATTCATAACAGTAGCAAAATTACAGCTATGAAGTAGCAACGAAAATAATTTTATGGTTGGGTCACAACATGAGGAACTGTATTTAAAGGGCCAGAAGGTTGAGAACCACTGCTCTAGCCCCTTCTTCAAGCTCTGCCTCAGCTGCAGAGAGCTGCCTCACCCAAGGCACACCCTTCCCAGGAAGCACCACATCCAGTGACTAAGTGAGGGGGGTATACAGTTATGCCCAGCTTAACAACGGGAGATGTTCTGAGAAATGCGTCGTTAGGCAACTTCATCCTTGTATGAACATTACAGAGTGCACTTACACAAACCTAGACAGTACAGCCTGCTGCACACCTCGGCTACATGGAATAGCCTATTGCTTCTAGGCTACAAATCTGTATAGCCTGTGCCTGTACAAACAACATGAGATTAAATCAAGCACAAGAGAAAAGTGATGCAAGCAAAAGACACAATAAACACGAGATGTCTGAGGCTGCTGCTGGAGTAACTCGGCACACTGGTTTACAGCAAACATCCTATATAATAAAAAGCTAATATGCAAATTGTCCCCTCAACTGGGAGTTTGACCAGGGGGTGGGACTGGCCCGCCAACCACCCAGCCCTCCCCTCAGCCTGCCCTGCCCCCGATCAGCCCGCCCCCCTCCCA